TCAGGTGTAGTATGGACGGCAACGTTCTTCCTGGATTGATCATTTTATTAATAGTATAGTCTGCATGTTAAATGAAGAAATGAAATCGAGTTTAGAACAAATGGTGTCTGCCTCAATTTATGTAGTTTTATGTTATATTTTTGTCATTTTGGTGTTGATTGTTTATTTTGTTCTATGTTTTAATTCTATATTAGCCAGTCAGAGTAAGGCAGTCAAATAAATAAATAAAGTTATAAGCATTTCACAATATTAAATGATTGAAGTTATGGAACTAAACTATTTTTGTCTCCATTAAAGCAACTGTGAATTACATAATTCTCTATTGGTCTAGCATTCAACATTTTAGCCAGAGAATCAAGCAAATTCAATTTGATGCATTAGTAACATGTCTTGTTTAATTGTTGATATGATCATTGTAGAAATAGAAACTCTATAAATCTCCTTTAAGTGTCATTTTTTAAAAGTTTAACCCTAATGTTTCAATAAGCAGTTGCATAATTCGCAAGGAAAATCACATGGTCAAAACTTAAATTTTTAAAAAATTATGATTGTTTCTTGGTGGTCCAAACCACTAAGTTCCATTTCATAATAATATTGCTAACTTGTTTAAATGTTTGCTGTATTAAAGGTCAGGGCAAGTTCTTATTTATACTTACAATGGGAACTATATACTATAATATCAGATAGCAGTGAAACCTTAAGCAATGAAGTCAGGCACTTCAGTGTTATATTTCATTCTAATGATGTGAAGATAATCTCTTCAGCTGCATGACCACTATATTAGCTACAGTCCATTAAACATCTTTATGGAAACTGGGAGTCAGAAATTATATTGTGTTCTTCTATTTGTTATTAGTAATATTTTGATTGGTCAAAGCCCCTGTTTCATTATTATCTTTCTATTTTTGTGTTTATTGGCAGATAAACCAAAGATGACAGTATAGAATAGCAGAGTGTCCTGCTTTTTGACCATAAATTAAATATATAAGACTAGAATGTGCCATAAGGACCTTCTATTAGAGGAACTATAGAAACTATTATTTCTAACACAATAACTTACATTTCCACTATGATATTTTTTCCCCAAAAAACGGTAGACAATGTAATTCAAGTAATCCTTGACTTACAATCACAATTGGAACATTATTAAGTGATGCTTTCATTAAATGGGCTGGACCCAACTTTATGACCTTTTTGCTGTAGTCGCTAAGCAAATTGTTTTCCCCCACTGACTTTGCTTATTGAAAGCCCACTGGGGAGGCTGCAAATGGTGACCTCGGGATCTTGCAACAGTTGTCACTAGATACCAATTGCCAAGCATACACATTTTGTGACCACCCAGATACTGTGACAGTTGTAAGTGTGAGGACCAGTTATAAGTCACTTTTTCACACCACTGTAACTTTAAACAGTTATTAAACAAATAGTCGTATTCAAAGAACTGCACAATGTGGCATAATGTGAAATGACCCTATGACCAACCTGTTTCAATTTCTATAAAGTTCACTGATCTTTTATTAACTGTTCTCATCTAACCTAATCTGACCTTAAATTATTTTCTTTTTTCATTACCACAATTGATCTTTATTGCACAGTGATTTTAACAACTATATTGTAGCAAAATAATAGAACATCTCAATCCCAAATGATTGTAACTTCTATTTTATGTATGGGAGCAAAATTTTAATGTGAATTAGAACTTTGAAGCCTTTCTGTACACAGTGTGTGGAAGACTTACACTGCATATACTGTATGTGAAGACCAGCTTTTCAATATCATATTCAGCATGACATGGAAAGAGGAGATGCTGCTTATTAGTGCTCACATGCTGAATAAAATTACATAGTAATTTTTTAAAAAAAATAATCTTAAGTGTTTTGTCCCCGAAATACCAAGAAGTGCATTACCTATGCAATTACAAGGAAAAGGAAGGAGAGAACGAGGAAAGTTGAAAGTGATTAAGTTTCAAAACTCTTTAAAACTCAAACATTATTTCTTGGAAATTTATTACTTTTCATATCCTGATAATACATTTATTGATTTGGGAAATTTTAACTCATTGTGTTAAAAAAAAGAAATGTACAGGTAGTCCTTGACTTATAACCACAATTGAACCCAAAATATCTGTTGCTAACCAAGACATTTGTTGGCATTTACTGATTAGCCTTTGAGCCAAACATTTGTTAAGTTATGCCTCATTTTACAACATTTCTTGTCACAGTTGTTAAGTGAATCACTGCAGTTGTTAATAACATGGCTGTTAAATGAATCTAGCTTTTCCAGCTTTTTCAAAAAGTCTAGCTTTTTGACTTTGCTTGTCAGAAGGTTAGGAAAGATGCTCACATGCTGTTGTAACTTTGAGTGGTCACTAAATGAACTGTTGTAATTTGAGGACTACATGTATTATTTTCTTGTCAGGTTAATGGGAAAGACAAATGGGCAGCTTCTAGATACATCTGATTTGAATAAGATTGTTTTTAGAATCATAGATGTCCAGCCAAAGCTTCTTGCACTTTTATATTTCTTAAGTAAAGCACATAGAGATTAAGCCATGAATTTCATTTCGTTTTTTTCATAACCTAATACAGAATTACCTCAATGTGTCCAGTGTTCTTCTGAATCAAATGTCAAACCGGTTATTAATGTTCTCATAAATTTTCATATAACATGGTTCTATAGAAGCAAACAGTACATCCATAATATGATGATCCATTTCATATAAATACACATTTATAGGAATGGTATAGTTTCCTGTCAAATACTAATTTTCAACTTTCTCCCTAAAGAAAAGTAGAAGTTTTAATACAAAATGGATTTCAAAATCATTCAGACTGTATATTTTCATAAATGTGGGTTTATTGTTTTTAGCAGATTCAGCTTATCACTGCACTGTGGTCAGTGCTTTTTGTTTAAAAAAAAGGAATTTAATTTTTAAATGTTAATGGAATCCCAACACATGCCATTAATTTGGAAAAGGTGCCAATAGTTATAGCAGTATTTTCTACATTACCCAAAAACATATAATACAAAAGGACTTGCTAGAATTTCATTTCTGTTAAAAGAGTACGTCAGTTAAATGTAAATTAGATCTTTGAATTTCAACAGCTGTTTTCAGAAATTTTCAGGATGCTTTTCCTGGAAGCAACATGAACATAAGTTTACAGCGAAAAATGAAGAGTCAGTGAAGTGTGTATAAATCATATAAAAAGTTATTCAAGTGAAAGACAATTAGATTAAGAATAATTAGAGTTTGAATTGTTATTGTTCCATTATGTTCTTTAGAAGAAAACTGGCATCAGAATGTCCAAGTAACTTCGAAGCTGCTCTGCAATAGTTTCGTTTATGGATTTTAAAAGAAGGGATTGATGGTTTTGCAAAGCTTTCATCCTACATGCTGCTAATTGGAGAAGTACTTATCAGGCTATTGAAAATGCTGTCTAGTGAACTCTGGCTAGGATCCAAAGAGCAGTGAAACTCTGAGAATGGACCTACAGGCTGCCACACAAGCCTCACCTAAAATTCAATGGAAATTTGGGGATGGTCTCTGATGGTGGCCTCTAGTGTAGCATAACAAGGGGGAATTGGGAGGGGGAGAAGAGAAGAGAATAGTGGACAGGCCTGCATGTGCCTAAGCAATTTTCTGTATTTTGATCCTTTCAGCTAAGCAGCTTAACTTTATAGAATGGTTCTTCAGCAATTTTATATAATGTGTTCCAATATAATATTTCCATCTTTTATTAAATAAGTTCCGGAATTCTATTGGACACAGAGAAAAGGAAATTGGATTTATTTCTCTTGTTATGATGCAGAAAAGAGGAAAGAGAGCACACAGACTTTAGTCATAAATCTGCTTTCTTCCCATATACATAGTATTAAAACATTAGTTAGTCTCACATATAATTTTCGCATCCAAACCTTGATCCAGAGTTACATAGAATAAATCCATTAAAATCAACAGTGCATACATTGCTTATAACTGAATTAACTCCCACTGGGTGTGCAGTGGTTTAATTAATATGACTGGAACTGAACCATAATTTTTCTATCATTATGGGAACATGTTTATATCATCAGAACATTTTCTAATAGTGCAAGAATACTTGTAAGCTGTTTGAAAGGCGGAGAGGAGAGTTTCTGATTATTGTAATTCCTAATTCTGATCTAACCCTTCCTGCCTTTTCTTGTTTTTATTTTTTATTTAGGGAGAATTGTCTTTCTCTATTCTGTTACTGACATTTGTATTGTCACAGTATGTGAAACTGATGCTAAACATGTAACTATACTAATCGGTGTGGCATACATAAATAATGAAAGAAAGATGTTTGGGCATTTTCTTTCCTTTTTTTTTTTTGAAATAATAAAAAGCTGTACACTATAGGCCCCCATACAAAGTGATGCTTTTATGCAAAGAGACTGGAGTCTGCTTATTACCTACAGTATGCTTGCTAGCCCTGATGAACAGACCACCATAGTTGTGACAAGTGATGTAGCTGCCTCCAGGGTAAAACAAAGCTTTAGATATTACACAAGCAATTTAACTGTTTTCTAAACAGATTGCCAAGACAGTGGGAGTTGGCACTGTATTTTAAAGCTTGGATACTTGAAGTGACTGCTGATTATAGACCTTTTGATTTGCCTTCTGCATACAACAGGCAACCAAGTAATCCAATAAAGAATGCTCACAAGCACTTAAACTTGTCTTCATGGCTTCCCATAGATTCCACTCAAAACTCACTCCATAAAAGTGGAGGTAAAGAGGCCTGTATACTGATAACAAAACAGTTGCCTTATTCCAACTCTCAAGAAACATCCCTGCCCCCATCACCCAATCCAGAAGAAGTGTTTTATAATCCTTTCCCTCATAAACAGAAAAGGAAGAAAGAAGCCTGGCAAAGAATACTCACAAGAAAGAAAGAAACTGGGGAGGGGGGGTTGTTTCTTAAACACAATAAGGAACATAATTAACTTCACAATTCTTTGTGTTTTTCATTTGACTACAGGGTGGAGATGAAAGAGGGCTCCTAAGTCTTGCATTCCATCCCGATTACAAAAAAAATGGGAAGTTGTATCTGTCCTATACCACCAACCAAGAACGATGGGCTAGTGGGCCTCATGACCATATTCTTCGGATAGTAGAATACACTGTGTTCAGGTATCAATTTTATGTACAATCTCTACAGTGTTTCCTAGTATGCTTTAAAGTATTTGTGTCCCTTGTCTGCTCTCTTAAATCCTACATTTGTATCTTTTACATTCAAAGATGAAACTCTTGATTGATGAAAGATACATATAGATATTACACAGTGCTATGCTTTGCTATGCTATATATAATATAAACTATATTGTGTAATATAATACAATCCAAACTAAATTTCAGGCAAATAATTTTGAGACTAGAAGCAATTACATTTACTTTTCTCCCTTCTATATTTATTCAATTATTCTTATGTTAATAATTCTGATAACGGTAATTCTGATAATAATAATTATGGTAATGTTCTGATTACTAGATAATTCAGTGTATAATATAAAAATCTGATATCCCACTGTATTTGGAATTAAATGATTTCTTATATATTGAGAAATAACCAACAAACTAATTGAGAGACATGAGTGCACAGGATAAATAATATATTACTTTCTTTTCCAGGCTAATCAGTAACATGTAGGCAAAATCTTGGCCCTTATGATGATTTCAGAAGTTCTATTCAGGGTACCCTGCTTATTCTCATTATCAGAATGTTTTCCTTACACTAAGATTACAACTATATTGATTGGTTCCTAATATTCTTCAATTTGTTATCTGTTATAATATGGTCTTTCATAGATGTCTGGTCCCCAAAACCAAGAAGGACGCCCAGATTTATTTCAATGCAGTTTCCTGTATTTGTCCTCATTCCTAGACATAAGTCTTGCCAAACTAAAGGAATGACTTACATCATTAAAAATACACTTTGACAAGTTGTAGGGAGGAACTATCTTGACCCTATTTCTCCCAACCAAACTATCTATACTTTGCTATTTCTTGGTCCTCTGGAATGCAGCCCCTCCCTTCTGGGAATACAGACTATATTCCACCAAAATACATTCCCTCTAGAAAGTGTTTTTGTGCCTATCCTTTTAATCAATCATTAGTGACAATCTAAAAGTAATTCCTCTCTGTATGCAACTCTATGTGTTTTAGATCCTGACTTGCCTTCAAAGAACTTTAGATAGTACTTGCTGTATATCCTGTCTCATATCCCAGCACTATTTTACATTCACAAGTAAAGTAGGCTGTAAAGTGAGATTTGGACATAAGAGTGAGATAATTTGGGGTCAGATTAGATGATCTTCTGTCATTTTTTATCTTTGTAATTTGAAAGGTACAAATAGCATCTTTGAGACAGGAAGCTTGAACTCAGGAAGTTTAAAATGTCAAACCACAGAGCTAGTTTTTCACACCTAGCCAAACCGCATAAGTCAATATTTCCTGCATGACAACCGGCTTCTGCCTAGCAATAAGGAGCTTAGCCAATAGGAATGTTTTAAGATATTTCTGTGTTTTGCTGCTTTTGAACTATATAGTATAAACTATATCCAGATCTTTTGTTCAGACGTAAGATGTGGATTTACACTGTCTGAGCCTTTTGGCCAAAATAAAGTTTCTCTTGATCTTGAAGTCTGGGTCCTTTGATTTTCTGCAGCACAACAACTCTGCATCATGTCATCTGAGGGCAACCTAGTATTGTGCCATAAAATGGGCTTCATGAGCTGCCTGAAAATCTGAATTTGAATTACTCGCATGTTAATTAGAATCTACTCCTTCACCTGCTACACTGTTAAATATTCAAATTCATTCACATTGCAAACTCTTGCAAAAAGGAAGGCAAAGCAACAAAAAACGTATATCCATTTGTATTATGGCAAGCAACAGTTTATATTGCTGTCTATCACTACTTAAAAATATTTTACAGGCTGAAAACAAAAATGATATACCTACTTTGAGTTAAATATATTACTGGAATTCATTTCTTCCCCCAATTATTGCAGGAAGAATCCACACCAAGTTGATATGAGGACTGGAAGACCTTTCCTAGAAGTTGCAGAACTACATAGAAAACATCTTGGAGGACAGCTGTTTTTCGGTGCTGATGGGTTTTTATATATAATCCTTGGTGATGGAATGATCACAATAGATGATATGGAGGAGATGGATGGTCTGAGGTATAAGAATTTCCAGTAGATAAAAACCTTTTTATCTTTTGATTTTTAAAATTTCCACCCTAATTCTGCTCTTGAAATATAAGTAATTACCATTCTATATTTACATAATTTCATATCACTTTACTGAATGAATGAGAAATTAAAATTTGTCCCCATGACAAATAGTTGGAAATAATTTATAATAAATAATTTAATTGCTAAAGTTGTGTTATTTATTATCTATTACTCATTTTCAGAAGAGAATCTGATTTAAAATAAACAAAAATGTGACCGTTAAAAATTAAAGATCAGTCATATTGACTTTCTTAATTTTTCAGAAACAAACTTTTTTTAAATCAGGTTTTCCAAATGGTATGGGGTATCTCTTTGGGGAGGGGAAGACAGGGTCCAGGGGAGGCATGAAGAACCTGAATACATACACCTTGCCAAAGTTTCATTGTATTGAATTCATTGTTCATTTGTGCTCATTTTGATGTTAAGATTTTTAGAGGAGATATGCACATTACAATTACAATAAGGGGAGGTCTAAGATTTAAGATTTAATAAATTTGTATGCCGCCCAATCCAGAAGGAATAATAAATAATAATAATAATAAAATAATAATAATAAAATAATAATAATAATAAAATAATAATAATAAAATAATAAAAAATTTAAAATACAAAGACAAGCAAGTTAAAAGAACACAACATACTTATTCTTAGTGGGGCTGGAACTCAATCAAGGATCTACAGCCCCAGGCCTGCCGCAATAGCCAGGTATTAATAAACTTAATAGACTTAAAGCAAAGATATAGAATGAAATTAATGTCTGTGGATAGACATTTACCGTATATACTCGAGTATA